CTCAAGGTAAGCTTACCTTGATAATCGCTTAGTCCCGTCCCAACTAGCCGCCCCTGGGTCTCCCAATGGATACACTGGGACAATAAGGTTTTCACTGATTGAATACTGGTTTCCTTCCCAGGAAGTTCCTTCCCAAGAAGATCTAGCTAAAACGCTTTGCATGCATGATTTGATCGAACAATCCATAGGCTCGGAAAAACCACTCTTGAGATGAGAGGAAGAAGTGTATTGGGATCGAAGAATAATGTTTTTGGGGACGGACAAACCGGTTTCAGATTTGGAGAAAAACGCTTTTGCGATCGCAAAAAACGGTTTAAAGATGAAGGGAAAAAAAAAGAAAGAAAGAAAGAAAAAAGAAAAACGGTTTTGGGCCGGCGGTTTGGAAAACTGGTTTGGGGGCAAAAAAAATTGGTTTTGGAAAAGTTGACTGATTTTGTTCATCTTAATTAACTTCATTCACAGTCTGCACCAATCCATAGCTATAGCAAATGAACTCCTCTTGGCTCGTACCTCTACATGATTATAGCATAACACTACAACTCCAAGAAAAGGTGAAGGGTTCTACCGACTCTACTGAGATACGTTTCTAGCTATTCTGACAAATAAAACAAAAATAGAGAAACATAAATCTAAGTTTACACAAATAGATATTTACATGAAATCAAACCACCTATGGGTCACCTATTATAGCTACAGTGTACTGCCTTCACGCAATTTCTGCATAGAAAATAAAGATAACGGCCCTGTTTCACATTTTTAAAATAGTATTTTGTGTAAATAGTATAGTATTTATAGTGTAAATGTTGTAAAGTAATGTCAGTAGAGCTGAAAAGTTCAGTTCATAATACATAGCTGTTATTTTTAGTCAGTGTCATGGCCGTCCAACAGTCAAGCTTAACCCACACATATCTTTCTTCGTACTTAGTTTTGTTGTTTGTTTTGCTGGGTTCTCTAGTTTTTAACAATCGTTCTCACAATAGTCATGTTCCGACAGTCTTACTGACCTTACAGGTCCTTACATATCATTTGCATAATCTGCACCATAGCTACCCTACAGATTGCTTTCGCAATATTCGGGTTAATGATCTGTTATTGTTGAGTTTTCGAATCCCCTGGCGTAGCGTGGAAGGAAAACATTTGAAGCATTTTAAGAGTGAAAACGCCGTTTTCAAATTTCTTCAGCGTGGTGTGGAGGTCCGGGGGGTACTCCCATATAAAAAGGACCATTACAACTAGGTTGCAGAGTTTTAGCAGTGCGATAGAATTCTTCGTTCTTGTAGCTTTCTTCAATTCAGGGTTAGCCATGAAAGGAATTCTCGCGCGTTTTGCCCTCGCGTGCTAACAAACTCAAGTTATTATTATTTGTAAAAATGCTTAATGGCCGACTACCTAACTACCCATAAATTTCCTGCCAGAAGGTACGAAGAGGGAGGTTCGGTCCGGTCACAGCAGACTTCAACTAAAATATCAATCCGTGAAGGCATGAATGAAAGTGAATCAAAATATCCCGGGGGAGGGGTTCTCCCTTAAGCCTACCTGGGCGCGGCTTGGACACCAATGCGGCATATGTGAACATTTATCATCGAATCATAATCTGTCCCAGGCATTGACCGCCGGCTTGCCTGCGCAATTGAGCTGAGTTCAACTTCGCAGGCAAGCCGGCGATTGTCGGCGATAAAAATGTTTTATGTGAACATCATCTACTGACGCAACGTACTCCAGTATATATGAGCTATATAGCTATATGTGGCCCCAGAGGGTATGGTTTTTCAGCCGTTTTGGTCACAAATAGGGTACCAATTTTGGCAATTTTAATCATAAATAGAGGATGGTTTTTGTACTCTAGTCTTGATATGGGTATGTTCAGTTTTTAAGAAGAAGCCACTTTTTCAGCAATATCGAAAAGAAAACCAACAAAAGCCCTTCATAAATTCTGATTACGGCAATTAACATTCATCTGAACTGACTTAAGTTATCGGCTATTGTTCTGGTGGTGAGGTAACGCGAAAAATCTTAAATTAAGATTTTACTTTTTACGTGGTCGCTAACTTGAACCGTAATCGATTTCCCCTGGATTTCCGTCATACATTTACTGTAATTTTACCCTCGGTAACTTCGAACTCTCGATAACTCGAACCTCCCGCTAACTCGAAGCAATTTTCCTTTCCCTTTACGCCATTTGCTATATAATTTTACCCTCGATAACTCGAACCATGTCTGTCAATACGTGACAAGTCAAAACAAACAGTGTACCGTGTGAACTTTTTTCTTTCTTTTAGATTACACAACACGTGTCAGTTCAGTTCAGGTTCCGCTCGTTTTCACAAAGTGTTGCTTGTTAACTCCTTTTCCAAAATGTCAATAAATCTCTTGGCTTCCTTGACTGTGCAGTTAATTAAATTTGATTAAAATGTACACTGCATAAATAGAAAACATTTCACCGTTTTTCCCTTATTTCCGGTCATTTGCTCTCAAATCCCGATAACTCAAACTCCTGATAACTCGAACCTTTTTTAATTTCCCTTGATGGTTCGAGTTATCGGGAGTTGACAAGGCAGGTCTGACACAGTGTTTTGATATAAGGTCAGGTCATAAGTAGGGTTCGAAATTTTGGTCAGGTCATAAATAGGGTAGGGAAAATCGCAGATTTTGGTCATAAGTAAAGTAAGGGTTTT